TGGGTTTCTACTGTTTAAGGACTCCAGTGCTCCTCGGCTATCGACAAATACAAAAACATTTTTGTCGTCATGACGTACTTCCTCCAAACACGCCAGAATGGCCTGCAGTTCAGCTTGTGTGGATGATATATAATTACTAAGCCGGAGTTCAATTATCCTGTCCACAGTCCCAAACTCCGTATAATCCCTTATTAGGACACCACACCCTGCCCTGCCATCCTCCGCCACCGACCCGTCGCAATATACATGTAAACTGTTGCCTCTTGGTAACCGAGATATCATGCTTCCATACAAACACCGTAATTGTCCCGGTTCATGATGAATCTTTTTCACCTTGAGGAGTACAATTTCGACGTCTATTTTCTGTACTTTCCAGGGAGCAGACATATTACACTTTCGAGAGGGTTTACAGCAGTCAAGTACGTCGTATTCCCTGAGGTCATGAGCTAATCCTCTCGTATAGCGAGTCTCCCTCAGTTTCCTGGAAGTGTGTACGTCACTCAAGCAGGTCTGAACGCTCTCAAACAGCTTATCCCCTCCTTTTCTCCGCATGAAACGAATAGATACTCTAGTGTTAATGTCACGGACTCTATCACACACACTCTGTAAATTTAATTCCATTCTCATTATTTCAATCATTGCATTTCTTTGACATCCAAGAATAATCCTCATAGCCTCGTTCTGTATCAGCTCTATTTTTTGAATTCTGCCTTGGCCTGTGTAAGACAATACGGGTGCTGCGTAGTCTATCAGGGATCGAACAGTGCTTATGTATAACATCCGCAAGATAGGTACCCCAACACCTTTACCAGAAAAAGCCAGTGCTTTTAGAGGATGCAGACGGGCTTTACATAAGGTGCTGATATGATTTATTTCAGCATTTTTACTCTCACATGTGTATCCAACATACATGCCCAGATACTTGTACTTCTGTACACGGCTCAGTTCCACACCATTTAGAGTAAGTGTTATATTTCTTCGTTTCCTATACTCGTATTTGGTTTTATCTGCATTTATAACTAAGCCTAACTTGTGACAGGTTGTACCAAGTATGTTAAGAGCATCTTGAATTTTGTTCCCAGAAGTGCCTTGTATAAGAATGTCATCAGCATATATGATCGTCGTGACCCCTGGAGGATACATCTGGGTAAGATAGTTTTAATAATAATGATCCCTAAATACAAGAGGTAAGTAGTGTCAAGTTACAAAAGTTGGCGAGACCTGGCAGTTGCAGCACGGGATCAATATATATATATATATATATATATATATATATATATATATATATATATATATATATATATATATATATATATATAGGCAGTAAGGACGAAAGCCAGTGGAAGCGAATGTATTTTGTTAAGGTTTTCTATAATATTATATAATACTATATTTGCTAAATAATTTTGTTAAACACACGTTTTGTAGTTAACAATGGCGCCTGACAGCTGGGTGGACAGCGTTTCGGATTCGTAGTCCTGAGGTTCCGGGTTCGATCCCCGGTGGAGGCGGAGACAAATGGGCAGTTTCTTTCACCCTGATGCCTCTGTTACCTAGCAGTAAATAGGTACCTGGGCGTTAGACAGCTACTACGGGCTGCTTCCTGGGGGTGAAGGCCTAGTCGAGGACCGGACCGCGGGGACACTAAGCCACGAAATCGTCTCAAGATAACCTCAAGATATAACGAGGAGGGGATATGAGGGAAGTGTAACGGGGGAGACATCTCCCGTCACGCAGGGTGCAGTCGCACCTCCACAGATCTCCAGTATCAGCTAATGATACTGGTAATGGCTCAAAAGTTACCACCACTTACGGGCTATTCATGCCCGTGCCACCTTTTGGGTGGCTTAATCTTCATCAATGAATCAATCAGGGAAGTAGTATAATTCTACTGGTACAAAGGTGTGTCTTATTATCAACAGGTGGGCTTGTGACGGGACACTTCACGTGCACCTGGAATTCTTGGTGACTCGGATACTTTTGATATCGTTCGCTTTATGCGTTTTTGTTCTCGTATTGGCATCCTTGGTGATATTTAGCGCCCTCTGATTATTCCGCACATTTGATGAGCTATGGCGGTGTGTCCACTCACAAGATGAGTGGCGCTGCCCAATAAACTCGCCCCTCGGGGCAAAATTTAAATTTAAAAAATTTGATGGTGCTACATAGCCTTCCCGGTTTGGTGCCTTCTTTTGATAATTACTTACTTCACGTGCACCTGGCACACGTTTTCCCAGTATTCCTTCTCTATACACCCACTAGGCGCCAGGCACGACTGCTCCCCCAAGACTAGCACCAGACTTTACGAGTAGTGGAAGGCTCCGTGTGGTGGAGTCCCCTGGCGAGGCACGCCACACCTTATAGTAAAAAATAGTAAGGAACAAAACACACACAAGCAGCAATTTTCATTCCAGTTGTGCTTAGGATAAAGGGAAAGCACAAGGAAATTGCCATGTAGTAATAATTAAGGAGCTGAGGAGCTCCATGTGGTTTTGCAAACATGGACGTAATATGGGTTGTCAGGTGTAAGGCTGGAAGACATAGCAGTTTAGAGATGGTTAAGAATGGTATTGATAGGACGTTGTGATGAAGATAATAGACGTTACATGGTTATAGTGTGTTGATGCAAATTATATGGCCCTTGCATATATGGCCTGGTGTGTGGATGCCGGACAAGTGGCCCGGAATGTGATGATGTGGCTGTATGGACTGTGGATAGGTGGCCGAAGAATGTACGGATGCAGCCATGTATACTGTGGCCATGTATACTCGCGTAATGTGCAGCAGTAGTTTTGTGCCCACTAGGGTTACTAAAATAAGAGCTGTTACAGTGGAGTTGGCGCCCCAGAACAAGGGTGTGCCAAGACAGTAGCATGGTCCCTGGGGGGTATAAGGGGGCGCGACGACAAGACCCACCACCCAGGGCCTGTAACAACACCTATTCTGGAATTTGTACCCTAGAACGGAACATGCAATATTGTTAGACATTTGACAACAATGCTTGAAGATACAGCCAGGATCCCGTCGAGATTACTGTAAATCGTATGGACTATCAACCTGGGGCGATCAGGACGTGCTGTGGAAGCAGCAGAAGATAGGGAGCCAGATGTGGTTCAATGGATACTTTCACAGGTTACACGAGTCACGCATGTATTTATGGTTGATACAGCTGCTGACATGTAATCTGATGACAATTTTAGTTAGACAATATACAAACCAGTTTTAGATGATACCACGCACAAAACCTTTTGGTACTTATACCAGTGAAAAGTGTAACTTTGTACACTTTCCAGATCCCAGCACCAAAGAGCCGGAGCTCAACCCCTGCAAGCACAACTAGTTAAGTACACGGGCTGCTTCCTGTGTGTGTGTGTGTGTGTGTGTGTGTGTGTGTGTGTGTGTGTGTGTGTGTGTGTGGTGTGTGTGTGTGTATGAGCAAGCTGATCAGAATTACATTTCATCTTTGCAAACACACATTAATCATATGTATAAAATAACATACATTTATGTCACAAACTGTGGTCGACATATATGTTTATGATGTAGGTTAGGTTAGCATTTTAAAAACACTACAATCACCTTCTGTGGTTAATTGTTAAAAAAAATCACTGAACTATATGTATAACAGATCTCTAACCCTGTCAATAAAAGACAGAAGAAAATGTATATAAGCTGGTTAGCATTGTAAATGTGTGGCCACGTTTGTGGTGTGTGAGAGAGAGAGAGAGAGAGAGAGAGGAGTGAGAGAGTGAGAGAGAGAGAGGAGTGAGAGAGAGAGAGGAGTGAGAGAGTGAGAGAGAGGAGTGAGAGAGAGGAGTGAGAGAATGAGAGAGAGAGAGAGAGAGAGAGAGAGAGAGAGAGAGAGAGAGAGAGGAGAGAGAGAGAGGAGAGAGAGAGAGAGAGAGAGAGAGAGAGAGAGAGAGAGAGAGAGAGAGAGAGAGGAGAGAGAGGAGAGAGGAGTGAGAGAGAGAAGAGAGGAGTGAGAGAGTGAGAGAGTGAGAGAGAGAGAGAGAGAGAGAGAGAGAGAGAGAGAGAGAGAGAGAGAGAGAGAGAGAGAGTGAGAGACTGAGACTTGGGAAGGTTTACAGAGGGAGTGGACACCATTATTAACGTACCGTGACAAGGGAGTTATATTATGATACAACACCAGGGAAGGTAGACAATATCACCGTCTTAGTCAACTGACGTGCTAAGGATCAGTCTGTGGAAGTTGGTATTCACTTCGTTCCTCTTGTTGGTAAAAGTGGAGGGAGGAAGGAGGGCCTTGACGGGATGGCCTAGAAGGGGTGTGTGTGTGGAGGGAAGTAGAGACAAGGGTGAGGGAGTGGAGGGAGGAAGGAGGGCCTTGACGGGATGGCCTAGAAGGGGTGTGTGTGTGGAGGGAAGTAGAGACAAGGGTGAGGGAGTGGAGGGAGGAAGGAGGGCCTTGACGGGATGGCCTAGAAGGGGTGTGTGTGGGGAGGGAAGTAGAGACAAGGGTGAGGGAGTGGAGGGAGGAAGGAGGGCCTTGACGGGATGGCCTAGAAGGGGTGTGTGTGGGAGGAGGGGGCCTGGGGAGGGAAGTAGAGAGAAGGGTGAGGGAGTGGAGGGAGGAAGGAGGGCCTTGACGGGATGGCCTAGAAGGGGTGTGTGTGTGGAGGGAAGTAGAGACAAGGGTGAGGGAGTGGAGGGAGGAAGGAGGGCCTTGACGGGATGGCCTAGAAGGGGTGTGTGTGTGAAGGGAAGTAGAGACAAGGGTGAGGGAGTGGACATAGAAACAAATGGAGCACAATATAATAATTATGCGAGGATCAGGGGATGTTAAGACAGAGGTGCGTGTGTGTTACCCTGCTGTAAGGTGGTGGCAGAGTGGTGTAATGAATATAAATAGTTAGGGAGATCAATACTTGAACGGCTTACGGGATATTCGTGCCCGTGCCACACCTCTTGGGTGGCTTAATCCTCATCAATCGATATTTTAACAAGACTTGGGTAAACCACGCAGCAGCCTAGGCACTGACCTTAACAGAGGGGTCGTTGATGATATGGTGGTCGTAGTCGATGACTTCCTCTAAGCTTTGGGCCGGGTGGATGCGATGATTAATGATGGCGCTGGCTGATACTGGCACCACGTTCTCCTGTATCACACAGTCTTTCAGTGTCAGGTTTAGTGTCTACACACACACTTTATATAATTATATATATTTTATATAAACACACGATGCCAAGTGCAACACGCAATAGAGTCCAGATGCAACTGCACTCACAGAAACAAAACTACAGTAATCATAAAGGCAGTCTTCCCTCATAACTACCATGTACATAGGAAGGAGAGAGGAGATGGTAAGTGGCCTTTGTCAGTCAGGAAATGGGGATGGTATTCCTCTAGGCTGTGAGGAAGTCAGATTACATAACGGGCACTAAAATAGAGGGACCCAATAGTAACAGTGATAATAGCAACAGATGTAACCCCCACAAAGTGACAGGATACACATGCACGAGGGATACAAAAGTAAAGCATGTTACCAGCGGGATCCTACAGGGTACAGGGGTAGGTACTACCCTGGAAACACAAACCGAAACTGTCTCTATTTTCCGCTTGTTACAACTTGTAATAAAGTTGTTACATCTTGGCTTAACGTGTTTATGACGTATTAGAACGTTGTTACAACTTGCTATATTGGTTGTTATAACTGGTTAGGTGTTAAAACTTGTTCGAACGTTGTACCAACGTCGTAGTTTCGGTGTGTGTTTGGCGGGTCTAAGCACCTATCTTGTTTCTTATTTATGTCAGTGATCATTCATTAGCTCCTTCCTATCACTGTTTGCCGATACACAAATTGGATCGACTAAAAGAATGGTCAAACAAGTGGATACTAGATTTTACATCAAAATGCAAAGCAATTTAAATGAAAGCCGAGATTGATTTCACATCAAACCTGTTTGCCATAACCCACAACAAATGGATATCGTCAGTTGCATACATAAGGTTGGTCAACATAAGATTTGCCTTTATAGGTATGACGAGTGAGGCCTGTGTATACCACGTATGTCAGACCCATTCTGGTATATGCGGCACCAGTGTTGTGTTCTTGTTTCGTTAAATACAAAACAAAGCTGCAGATGTAAGCCATCACACTAGCCTCCCAAGGGCCGAGAGATACAAGTTAAAATTAAACATCACTTGATTGGAAGATAACAGATCTGGAAGAGGAGACATGATTACCACATTCAAAATTATCATAGGATTATATTGGGCCATTTAAAATCGGTGGTACAACCCATGTAAAGGAACAAAAGGGAGGGGTTAGAAGGAAATTTATTACTTAAATGAACTATAACAAAGTTACGAATGAAGAAATGGAAAATGATGAAAAGTAATGGAGGAAAACCATACCCAGCTTTAATTACAGGTATACCAGAGCCCAATTAGCCTCGATTACCTGTACACCCGTTAATTAACGGTAGACACACAGGACTATACCCACCAAACACACACCGAAACTACGACGTTGCTACAACGTTCGAGCAAGTTTTAACACCACCTAACCAGTTATAACAACTAATATAGCAAGTTGTAACAACGTTCCAATACGTCATAAACACGTTAAGCCAAGATGTAACAACTTTATTTCAAGTTGTAACAAGCGGAAAATAGAGACAGTTACGGTTTGTGTTTCCAGGACTAGAGAGCTGGAACCCAGCCACCCTCAACACACTTTAGCCAAGCCCAATCAGGTTATCACTGACCTTAACACCGGCGCGGACGATGGTGACGGAGGTGGTAGTGCGGATGGTGGCGTCCGAGTCCCGCTTCCTCGACATGATGGCCTCCATCAGGGGCTTGAAGAGCCACAAGTTGGCGTAGATCATCTTGTGCGGCCACGACGCCTGCCGGCCACACACACACACACACACATGATAATTGTTTACACCGGCCTCCTGTTAATGTGGACACGGAGCGAGCACACGACTCGCCCTCTGTTTTAAAGGGTATAGCCCGAGTGGCGGTACCCCGGAGGGCAGAGTCATGGCTTGGGTGATAGGAGGGGAACTGTGCCATGGCTTGGGTGCTGGCGAGGGACATGGCTTGGGTGGTGGCAGAGGGACATGGCTTGGGTGGTGGCAGGGGGACATGGCTTGGGTGGTGGTAGAGGGACATGGCTTGGGTGGTGGCAGGGGGACATGGCTTGGGTGGTGGCAGGGGGACATGGCTTGGGTGGTGGCAGAGGGACATGGCTTGGGTGGTGGCAGAGGGACATGGCTTGGGTGGTGGCAGAGGGACAAGGCTTGGGTGGTGGCAGAGGGACATGGCTTGGGTGGTGGCAGAGGGACATGGCTTGGGTGGTGGCAGAGGGACATGGCTTGGGTGGTGGCAGAGGGACATGGCTTGGGTGGTGGCAGAGGGACATGGCTTGGGTGGTGGCAGAGGGACATGACATGGGTGGTGGCAGGGGGACATGGCTTGGGTGGTGGCAGAGGGACATGGCTTGGGTGGTGGCAGAGGGACAAGGCTTGGGTGGTGGCAGAGGGACATCAATCCCGTCATAATGTTAAATCTAATTCAGTCGCGAACTGATAAGTTCAGTTTTGAACCATAAAAATCCATCTGAATCAGAGTTACACGGTAGAGAACTTTTAACACGGAACTTGAACTTTTCTAACACGGTAGAAAAAAGTCAAGCTAGTCCATGGTCACTTTGAATCTTTATAGAATCGGAGCAGCATTAGTTGGGTAGTACTGACCTTGGGAGCCAAGTAGGTGAAGAGGTCGAAGGCGGGCCCTCTGCCGAACATGGAGGGATGTCTATAGTGGCCCAGGTTATAGACGGCAGAGGCGAGACGGGTGACGGCAGCGTCTCTAGGCGGCATCGACGAATGCCCGCCCTCGCCCTCCACTTCCATCTTCAGCGTCAGGTAGCCCTTCTCCGTCACGCCGATCCTGAGGGCACGGCAACAAGTCGGCCACGTCAGCGAGCAACTTCTTGTCTATATCTCAAGCAACCTGGACCCGGATTCACGAAGTAGTTACGCAAGCACTTACGAGTAAGTAATTATCAAAGAAGGCACCAAGTCGGGAAGGATATGTAACAAGCACTTGCGAACCTGTACATCTTTTCTCAGTCCTTGGCGCCTTTGTAAACAATTATTACACAGTTAATGAGCTCCGAAGCACCAGGAGGCTGTTTATAACAATAACAACAGTTGATTGGGAAGTTTTCACGCTTGTAAATTATTTATGAAATGTAACCAAAGCTGTCAAAGATTGAGGAAAGATGGACACGTTCGTAAGTACTTGCGTAACTGCTTCGTGAATCTGGCTCCTGGTCATCTTCAACTCTCGACTGAAACTGAAGAGTTCGTAAGATCCTCTAACACGTAGTTTATACGTTCTTTGATTGAATTTTATTGTGCATAAAAATGAGGTGATTATTGCATATTTTTGGAGTACTCATTTCATTGCTTGTGATATAAGAAACTTAACTACTCAAACGCACTTTCATATCTTTAAACAGAAAAAAATATTAATTCATTCTCTCACATACACAGATGGAAGATATGATCACGACATACAAATCCCTCAAAATGATCTCTTAGTGGACAGGAACCCGGCGGCTTGTCGAAAGTTCTCCCTCCCCATTCTTCCCGTTTTTTGTTTTCCCGAGTGAATTTTAAACTGACGTAATGTCTTGGCATTTACTGGTTTGACGGGTAGGGGGTTCCATGGGTTTATTACCGTATGGATGATAACGCATCTCCTGTTTTGTCCTACATTGTGGCTTGTTGAGCTTGAAGCGCTAGTCCTCCTTGTGTGAGTTACAAAATGGTCCTGCTAAAGAGGAGGTCTTGAGTAGTATCTTCAAATTTCTTCAGTAAGATAAGGTCCTTCCTCCTCCCTGAGGCGACCCATGGTCCCCAACACATGGGAGAGTCCGCCCACGGGGGTCCCCGCAAGTCCCGACGCACACCAAGACCAATTGTGAAGGGGAGCGACGGACTAATGACGGCTTGAGCAAGGGCCCCGTGTAATGATGTTGAGGGCAGGACGGTCTGAGGAGGGTGCAGGAGAGGGCTCTGGGTGTAGGACAGGTTGGGGCGCAGAAAGACTGGGGGCGCAGTGAGGGTCGTGGGCGTAGGGCGGGATTGGGGCGTAGGACGGGACTGGACGGGCTGGCGAGGAGGTGAATGTAGGCCTAATTAAATGAAAGGATTGTTGCAGAATGGTTGAGGTTGATATACAAGGTTGAGGTTGATGTAGTTTCGACGGCAACAATAAAAAAATTGTTAGTTACATCTACACTACAATAGAATATGTCCGTTTGACTGGATGTTTAAAGTTGGAGGCCACACGGTTGGGACGAACCTCACATAAATTGGCAGAGGGAAAGGTCTGAGGGATGGAATGAACAGATTGGTCTGGGTCGCCAGAATTCAAAAGGTAACAGGGTGCCAGGGTCACATTCAAACCCCTACCACCATTTTTGGCACTGTCCCCCAGTTACACAGTTAAATATTTTCGAAAACAAAACTAAATTTTGTTTATAACAATATTCACCATTATTCACTGATCTCGCAAACATTAACAAATTTCCTGCGGTCAATAATTTGCCCATAATGACCATAGTATGTACTTGTACCTTTTCCACTACCACTCCACACGATGGGTATAGGTGCACAATAAATGAACTTAACCGTGATAGGCCTACAGTTTTATTACACGTGTAAAGCGAGGACATATATTGAGCCTCCGTGTAACAAGCCTACAGTACACTCCTCTACCCCTGAAATATAGAGCAGTCGGGGACTCGTCGAGTGAGCGCGCGCGCACGCACACAAACAAACACACACACACACACACACACACACACACACACACACACACACACACACACACACACACACACACACACACACACACACTCTGGCCTCACGTAACCTGGATAAAACATTCAGGAGAGACGCGCCAGCACGAGGTCGCCAGGCACTGGCCGAGTTGTCTGCCTCCACGACGCGACTCTAGGCACACTGTCACAGGTGCCCGGCTGTGACTCAACCTCCACGACACGACTCTAGGCACACTGTCACAGGTGCCCGGCTGTGACTCAACCTCCACGACACGGACACAGTGTCACGGGTGACGTCCATTCAACGAGGTGTACGGCAGGGAATTAACCCCACAACTGACGACTTGTAGAAACTAGTATCCTGGCAGGGAATTAACCCCACAACTGACGACTTGTAGAAACTAGTATCCTGGCAGGGAATTAACCCCACAACTGACGACTTGTAGAAACTAGTATCCTGGCAGGGAATTAAGCCTGATGACTTGTAGAGACTAGTATCCTGGCAGGGAATTAAGCCCACAACTGACGACTTGTAGAGACTAGTATCCTACCATGAACGTGAAACATGGGTTTCCAGCAGATGATTCTAGTGTGCGAGCAGCAAGTGCAGGGGGACGAGTAGGGCAAGGTAGGAGGTAGAGGAAGACAGTGGGGGTGAGAGGTGGGTACTCACATGGCGGTGGGAACTGGGATCCCTGGGATGACTTTATCAAGCACTGGCATGCCTTCGTCCAGCACGAAGTCGAGCTGCACTCCGCGTCCCTGCAGCAGCCTGGCGATGTGGCCAGCGCCGTCACGACCCCGCACCTATAATGACACACATTATGCAGGCGATGAGTCACAATAACGTGGCTGAAGTATGTTGACCAGACCACACACTAGAAATTGTGAACTGGAGAATGGTCCAGGACGGACCGAAACGTCGTCGTCCCTTCAATTTCTAGTGTGTGGTCTGGTCAACAATTGACACACATTAGTTTGCTGGCGATGCCAAAATTATTAGAAGTATTAAGACAGAAGAGGACAGCTTCAAGAAGACCTGGACAAACCGAAAGAATGGTCGAACAAATGGTTGTTAGAGTTTAACCCAAGGAAATGTAATGTAATGAAGATAGGTGCAGGGAGCAGGAGACCAGATACAGGGCATCATTTGGGAGATGAAGTACTTCAAGAATTAGAGAGAGAAAGACTTGGGGGTTTGATATCATGCCAGACCTGTCCCCTGAAGCCCATATCAAGAGGATAACATCAGCGGCATATGCCAGGTTGGCTAACATAAGAACGGCCTTTAGAAATTTGTGTAAGGAATCATTCAGAACTTTGTATACCACATATGTCAGACCAATCCTGGAGTATGCAGCCCCAGCATGGAGTCCAAATCTAGTCAAGCATAAGACTAAACTGGGAAAGGTTCAAAAGTTTGCCACCATATTAGTACCCGAACTGAGGGATATGAGCTACGAGGAGAAACTACGGGAATTAAACCTCGCGTCACTGGAAGACAAGAGTTAGGGGGGACATGACCACCACATACAAGATTCTCAAAGGCATTTATAGGGTAGATAGACAGACTATTTAACACAAGGGGCACACGCACTAGGGGATACAGGTGGAAATTGAGTGCCCAAATGAGTCAGAGACATTAGAAAGAATTTTTTCAGTGTCAGAGTAGTTGACAAATAGAATGAGAGCCCAGTAGGCTCGGGAACCTGTACATCTGTTGGTTGACAGTTGAGAGGCGGGACCAAAGACCCTGAGCTCAAACCCCCAAGTACAACTAGGTAAGTACTTATGTACTACTGCCCGTAACCTGCCCCAAGAAGCCGTTGTGGGGCCCAACTCAAGTTTATTAAGTCCCATTTCCTGAAAAACGTTCTACTGCCTAAGTAAGAACTTGTGCAAGTCAATCCGGGCCAGGGAGGCAGTTAGGCAGCACTGCGAGTGGTGAATCCAAACCCCGGAAATGCACATTAATGATAGCGGATGGAGCATGCAGCCCAAAATAGAATGCAGGATTAGTGAAAAAGGGTACCAGTGTGAAGGAACAGTCCTTCAAGTAATATTGGTCCATAGTGGAGGGACAGAAGCAGCAGGTGGTTGTTGTTGTTATAGATTCAGCTACTCGGAACACGTTCCAAGTAGCACGGGCTATGGTGAGCCCGTAACTTACCTGGCACAGGAGCGGGGCAAGTAGCACGGGCTATGGTGAGCCCGTAGTGGACTTACCTGGCACAGGAGCGGGGCAAGTAGCACGGGCTATGGTGAGCCCGTAACTTACCTGGCACAGGAGCGGGGCAAGTAGCACGGGCTATGGTGAGCCCGTAACTTACCTGGCACAGGAGCGGGGCAAGTAGCACGGGCTATGGTGAGCCCGTAACTTACCTGGCACAGGAGCGGGGCAAGTAGCACGGGCTATGGTGAGCCCGTAACTTACCTGGCACAGGAGCGGGGCAAGTAGCACGGGCTATGGTGAGCCCGTAACTTACCTGGCACAGGAGCGGGGCAAATGTCGAGCAGCAGGTGTAAACACACGGTAATGAACGGGGGGGGGGGGTGGAGGGGGGAGGCAGGTGTTAGGGAAGGAACGAACAAAGGAGAGATTGGTATAAGGTCACTAGAAGACAGGTGAGAGAGAGTAGGGACAGGTGAAGGAAGGGTCTAGAGGATGTAGTGAAGGAGGTAGGAGCAGAGGATAAAAAAGGTACGAGGGAGCAGGAGGAAGGAGTAAAAACAAAGGCAGGACTCACCTCTTCATCGTGACCGAAGGCGACGAAGAAGGAGCGTGCGGGCTGGAAGTCACTCTTGGCCAAGTACTGCAGCGCCATTATGATCCCCTGGAACACCAGGAGTGTCTTACTGACTCGCCCCACTACCACGCTATACACCACCCTACCACGCCACACCACCCTCACCACGCCACACCACCCTCACCACGCCACACCACCCTCGCCACGCCACACCACCCTCACCACACCACACCACCCTCACCACGCCACACCACCCTACCACGCCACACCACCCTCACCACGCCACACCACCCTCACCACGCCACACCACACCTCACCACGCCACACCACCCTACCACGCCACACCACCCTCACCACACCACACCACCCTACCACGCCACACCACCCTCACCACACCACACCACCCTCACCACACCACACCACACCACCCTCACCACGCCACACCACCCTCACCACGCCACACCACCCTCACCACGCCACACCACCCTCGCCACGCCACACCACCCTCACCACGCCACACCACCCTCACCACACCACACCACACCACCCACACCACGCCACACCACCCTCACCACGCCACACCACCCTCACCACGCCACACCACCCTCGCCACGCCACACCACCCACACCACGCCACACCACCCTCACCACACCACACCACACCACCCACACCACGCCACACCACCCATGCCACGCCACACCACCCCACCCACGCCACACCACCCTCGCCACACCACACCACCCTCACCACGCCACACCACCCTCACCACGCCACACCACCCTCGCCACGCCACACTACACCACCCTCACCACGCCACACCACCCTACCACGCCACACCACCCTCGCCACACCACACTACCCTCACCACGCCACACCACCCTCACAACGCCACACCACCCTCACCACGCCACACCACCCTCACCACGCCACACCACCCTCACCACGCCACACCACCCTCACCACGCCACACCACCCTCACCACGCCACACCACCCTACCACGCCACACCACACCCTCACCACGCCACACCACCCACGCCACGCCACACCACCCATGCCACGCCACACCACACCACACCACACCACCACCACCCTCACCACGCCACACCACCCTCACCACGCCACACCACCCTACCACGCCACACCACCCTCACCACGCCACACCACCCTCACCACGCCACACCACCCTACCACGCCACACCACCCTCACCACGCCACACCACCCTCGCCACGCCACACCACCCTCGCCACGCCACACCACCCTCACCACACCACACCACCCTCACCACGCCACACCACCCTCACCACGCCACACCACCCTCGCCACGCCACACCACCCTCACCACACCACACCACCCTCACCACGCCACACCACCCTCACCACGCCACACCACCCTCACCACGCCACACCACCCTCACCACGCCACACCACCCTCACCACGCCACACCACCCCATGCCACGCCACACCACCCATGCCACACCACACTACCCTCACCACGCCACACTACCCTCACCACGCCACACCACCCTCACCACGCCACACCACCCTCACCACGCCACACCACACCTCACCACGCCACACCACACCTCACCACGCCACACCACCCTCACCACGCCACACCACCCATCACCACGCAACACCACCCACACCACGCCACACCACCCTCACCACGCCACACCACCCTCACCACGCCACACCACCCTCGCCACGCCACACCACCCTCGCCACACCACACTACCCTCACCACGCCACATCACCCTCACCACGCCACACCACCCTCACCACGCCACACCACCCTCACCACGCCACACCACCCTCGCCACACCACACCACCCTCGCCACGCCACACCACCCTCACCACGCCACACCACCCTCACCACGCCACACCACCCTCACCACGCCACACCACCCTCACCACGCCACACCACCCTCGCCACGCCACACCACCCTCGCCACGCCACACTACCCTCACCATCATTACTCACCATAACCCCCAGTTTGTTATCGATGGCGCCTCTGCCCCAGATATACTTGGTCCCGGTGACGGGGTCCGGGAGGATGAGGCCGCCCCACGGGTCATGTGTCCACTTGTCCTCGTCCACGGGCACTACGTCAATGTGACCCATCAGCAGGTATGGCTTCAGCTCCGGTGACCCGCCCTGTACACACACAACCGGGTTACTTTACTCCTCTCAACTTTTGTTTGGAAGTTCAAGACGTAGAAATAATGCATAGTAAGTGTACATCTTCGGATTTTCTAGCAATAATGTGTGCACGCACGGTGATGGAGGTCGGAATAAAGTGATAAAATGAAGAATACACAATGAGGGGGGAAAATGTGTGTGTGAGATAGAGAGAGATAGATATATGAGGACTTGAGACAACACTGAGGCATCTCTGCCGCCACACACTAATATATCATCATATACACAGCCGGGTCTGAAGAAACCCGACAGCCAATTAGCGGGAATCAGACAGAGGAGTTGAGAATGAACTGACAGGTAAGGTAATTATCATGAGAGAGCTATTACCACTATATAATACTTGGAAGGGACGAGGATAAGGATTTAGGATAGGACTGGGGGGTGGGGGGGGGGGGGAGGGAGACGTCATCTTATGCGTGGAAGAAGATGACTGAATGGGGGTAGAAATAGCCTAAGCTACTCTATCCCTTTGAGATGTATTTATTGCTTATCTCAATAAACATACTTGAACTTGAACTTGAAGATGACTGAAGGCAGCAAGGAGAGAATATAGAACATTGTCCCACCTGGAGAAGGACCCGGAGCCACTTAACACTTTCCACGGGATGTTAAAGCTAATTAAACAAACTTAAGAGACAAGGAGTCACAATAACGTGGCTGAAATATGTTGACCAGACCACACACTAGAAAGTGAAGGGACGACGACGTTTCGGTCCGTCCTGGACCATTCTCAAGTCGCTTGCGACGGACCGAAACGTCGTCGTCCCTTCACTTTGTAGTGTGTGATTTGGTCAACAGACTTAAAGAGAATGTGTTATAAAACAGTAAAGTTAGGAGACATGATCACCCAGGCGCCGATACTCGCTCTGTAAGCACAAACATGTGAGTACATTCGCTCTCAGCCATTCTCTAATACTGAAAAATTTTAATAGTATGCTGGAAGCAATTTATATATTGATAATTATGGTCATTAGCAGCCGTAACTGCAGTATATACACATTTATAGCCATGTGAAAAATATTTCATATATAAACAATTGAGTATATAGCAGTAGAAGATGGGCCAGCCCAGACACTCCATTTTTTTTTCTACCACAGACGTGGCCACACATTTACAATGCTAACCAGCATATGTACATTTTCTTCTGTCCTCCATGGACAAGGTTAGAGATGTGTTAAACATATAGTTCAGGAATTTATTCAACAATCAACCACCTTCCCGTACTACCCCAGCCTCCGCCCACCCACACACTAGTTCCCTGGCGATAATTTCGGGGCTCAACGTCCCCGCGGCCCGGTCCTCGACCAGGCCTCCAGTTGCAGAAACAAAACTTCCTGGAACATTTGTGAGGAAACACGGAGGCGAGACCCCCTCAAGCAAGACTGGACGTTGTCTTAAAGGAAAACGGAAGTTGGGAATATTGAGTATGAAATACCAATGGGAGGGGGGGAGGGGGGGGGGGCAAGTGACCATTGTGTGTTGGTATTTGACACTGTAGTTATTATGAAGGCTGTAGCAGCAAGAGAAGGGAATGACTATTTTCTTGATAGCTTTCCACAAAGACAATTACCAGGTCAGACAATTCTTAGAAAGAATACAATGGAAATAGAACCAAGTGAAAAAATACTAAGGCATGATGGCCTTGTGTTGGCCTTCATAACACAACCTGTCCTCCTACAGCCTGTCCTCCTACCACCTGTCCTCCTACCACCTGTCCTCTTACCACCTGTCCTCCTACCACCTGTCCTCCTACCACCTGTCCTCCTACAACCTGTCCTCCTACAACCTGTCCTCCTACAACCTGTCCTCCTACAACCTGTCCTCCTACAACCTGTCCTCCTACCACCTGTCCTCCTACCACCTGTCCTCCTACCACCTGTCCTCCTACCACCTGTCCTCCTACCACCTGTCCTCCTACCGCCTGTCCTCCTACCGCCTGTCCTCCTACAACCTGTCCTCCTACCACCTGTCCTCCTACCACCTGTCCTCCTACCACCTGTCCTCCTACCACCTGTCCTACCACCTGTCCTCTTACAACCTGTCCTCTTACCATCTGTCCTCTTACCATCTGTCCTCCTACCACCTGTCCTCCTACAACCTGTCCTCCTACAACCTGTCCTCCTACCACCTGTCCTCTTACCACCTGTCCTCCTACCACCTGTCCTCCTACCACCTGTCCTCCTACAACCTGTCCTACAACCTGTCCTCCTACCACCTGTCCTCCTACCACCTGTCCTCCTACCACCCGTCCTCCTACCACCCGTCATCCTACCACCTGTCATCCTACCACCTGTCCTCCTACTACCTGTCCTCCTACCTGTCCTCCTACCTGTCCTCCTACCACCTGTCCTCCTACCACCTGTCCTCCCACCACCTGTCCTCCCACCACCTGTCCTCCTACCACCTGTCCTCCTACCACCTGTCCTCCTACCACCTGTCCTCTTACCACCTGTCCTCCTACAACCTGTCCTACAACCTGTCCTCCTACCACCTGTCCTACAACCTGTCGTCCTACAACCTGTCCTCCTACCGCCTGTCCTCCTACCACCTGTCCTCCTACAACCTGTCCTCCTACCTGTCCTCCTACCACCTGTCCTCCTACCACCTGTCCTCCCACCACCTGTCCTCCCACCACCTGTCCTCCCACCACCTGTCCTCCCACCACCTGTCCTCCCACCACCTGTCCTCCCACCACCTGTCCTCCTACAACCTGTCCTCCTACAAAGAACGTCGCTTTTCGCTCGTATGCGTTACTAAGACCAAAAATCGTCGCACTAGAACATGGAAGCGGCTGTGGGGAAAGTGACGAATACACCTTAAATTATATACACCACAATCGACTTGAGAATGGTCCAGGACGGACCGAAACGTCGTTGTCCCTTCACCTTCTAATGTGTGGTCTGGTCAACACCTTAAATTAACCGTTTTCTTGACGTTGGGGAAACCTTAGGAGGACGGGCTGCTTAACTAGCCAATGCTAAGAAGCTGAGAGAAGAGTTAAACCGCCCCTTAAGGAATAAAGGAGTCAAGATAGAATAAATTCTCACGGTTTAACAGATAACACGTAAGCGACAAAGAGGAGAAGTAAAACAACATGCAAGAAATATTGCAAACAGAAGAACCTCCAAAGGATACCTGATCAACCAGGCTGTAACTCGTACGTCAGGCTGCGAGCAGCCGCGTCCAACAGCCTGGTTGATCAGTCCGGCAACCAGGAGGCCTGGTCGACGACCGGCCGCGGGGACGCTAAGCCCCGGAAGCACCTCAAGGTAACCTCAAGGTAAGGTAACCGCAGATATACAAGAGAGGAACAAATACACAGGAATTCGGAGAAGAGCAGAGAAGCAATATGAGAACGACTTAGCATCCAAGGCCAAGGATCAGTCTGAACTACTATATAGCCACACGCGGAGGAAGTTGTCGGTAAACGAGCAAATGATCAGCCTACACTAAGAACGACAAG